AACATACTTGCACTTCAGTAAACATAAATAAACCCTCTTAAGTAAACTTAACAGTACTCCAGTACAGTATCCTTCATTCAGAATGTAAAGTGCAATTTCACTTAGGTCAGCCATCTATTCCAGTATTTTGAGGTTCTTCTGTAAAAAGATGTGCAGTCATGTTTAACCCTCTGGGGTTCCTCATTTTAGACTCACACTCAGGACCTTCGGGTCAAAAATGACCCGGAGGGCGGCATTAAGATACATTTTATTTGAGTAAAATCAATGAAATATATTTTTGTTCAATAATATTTTTTCTTTTCTTTTTTGGTGTTTTGAGATAATTTTATAATTTATAATTTATATTTATGCAATAATTAAGACCCATTTTTTCCCATTGAATATAATAGAAAATTTATATATATATATATATATATAATTAAAAAAAATTTTTTAGTAAAGCTGTATTTCATTTTAGAGTCAAGTCTAGGCCTCATGAAAGCAATTTTTGAAATGAGATCGGAGCCATCTGGTGGACACACTGAGCATTTTTATCACGCAATAGCACATTTTTACCACTAGTGGATTTACAGCTCTCTGTAGAAAACTATGGTAGAAACACTCTAGTGACTTTTTCACATATTGTTTAATTTTTTCAGGTTTTTGATTTGAATATATAATAACAGATTCTCAAAGACTATATTTGTAATTTTTTTTTATTTTTACATTTTTTTTTTTTTTGGTTGGTTTAAATGGTAATTTTAAGTAGCAGTTTTACTTTATAATACAGTCAAACCTGAACATTGCATTATAAAGAGAACAAATGGAAAAAAAATTGTCACCCATTGTTTTAAGAGATTCACCCCTTCACTGTTGTGTGCTTTTTTTCTGCATCCTGGCTGTTTTGTAGATTGTATGCACAAAAAAACTCTGTATTTTCACATTTTTGGCAATTTCCCATTCATTTCCTATGGGGGTCATTTTTGACCCGAAGACCCTGAGTGTGACTATTTTTCTTACGACCACTTAGACTTTTCAAATCCTGTCCCCAATTTTTTTGGGTGTTCATATACCAAGTACCAATAAAGTCACCAAGTTTTGGACCATTGCGATGAAGCTACGATTTTTAACATTTTTTTATTTAAACGCTTCGGGTCATTTTTGAGCCGAAGAACCCCAGAGGATTAAAGTGTTTCCGTTTGAGTAGGCTACACGTTTAAAACAATGCTTGCACACAGTCATTTTTTTGTTTACCGTTTTTTCTTCCTTGGCATTATACTCAACGGCAAAACCGAAGTGTCCCCACACCACTGATTTGAAAGACGCCGGCGCTTCCTCGTACTGTAGCCTCACTTCACCGCCGCTCGCCATGTTAAAGTGTGGAATGATGGTTAAGCCGCGCGCGGCCCCTAACTTTAGAGCATAGTGATTGAATATTTACTCGCGGGCAGGAGTTTCCTCATCTCAGCTCGTGCACAAACAGTCAATTCGGAGAGAAATAAAACGCACGTAAATTATTTAAACCGAAAACCGAAAAAAAAAAAAAAAAACGCAATTCACAAGCGCGTATTGAACCGTGGATGTTGTACCGAACGGTTCAATATTATATTGAGAATTGTGGCATCCTTAATTATTACTAAGTCACACCAGGGCTCTAGAGTGCGACCGAAATTTGTAAGGGTGCGACAATAATCTTGCCTAGGTCGCACCAGTGCACGTCCTTGCATGATCGCATCCGCTGCCTCTCCACAAACGAGTCTGTTGTTCTCCTTGCACGCATGGTTGGATCATATCGTGGTCTAAACCAATCAGAGATAGAGATTGGGCGGGTCTTTGCCTCTGATTGGCTGTGGTTCAGATATCCCTGTAGGACTAAAATGCTCCGTGCTGACTGCGTGATTGAAATAGCCTAAATTGCGACGTGAGCACCAGAGAATCAGTTACGGCAATCAGCAGCATCAGCTAAATAAACGCAGGAGAACAGACGACGAAGAAGCTTTTAAAAAATGTAGGCTACTTGAACTAGGTAAAAAATATTGATTTCTCGATTTTAATCGATTCTCATTGATTTTTACGAACCGTTGGACTATGCTGTTTTTTAGTTGATGAATGAATGGAACATTGTAGCGCGCATCCCATCCAATAAATCGCAATAATCTTTGTGCTTTGTTACTATTGATATGAAACAATAGGGGTGCACGATTCAGAAAATGTCACATTTGGATTCGATACCGATTTTTTGTCTCAAGATTCGATTCAAAATCGATTTTCGATTCAAAAAACGATTCGCAGTATATAAATGTAGTTTACTTTTTCCTATGTGATTGATTGCAGTAGACACAATTTAAAAGAAAAAACCCCACAACAAATTAAATGTAGTTTGATATTACTTTATAGGCTATGTCTTCATACAAAAATAAAATCTTTTGCAACTAAAAAAGTGCAAAGTGCCAAGCTTTGGCCAGCTTTCAAATACATTTAATTCAAGTTTAAAATAAAACTCAAATAAAAAGCTTTTACATTTAGCTTTAAAGTGCTGTAGTCAGATCAAACAAACAATTATGCTAAATGTGGTTTAAGGACTACTTCAGCTACCAGGCTGACTGTTGAAATGTGAACTCGACTGGGCACATTGAACTTCCTAAAAATATATACTAATGTCATAGAACCCTTGCGAAATAATTTTAAATAGATTTTAAAAAGCCACCGCTACTGGTAACATCTATGGTTAGATTGATTTGTTTAGATCCAGTGAAGTCGTTCATAGGCGTAATTTGCGGGTATCTCCAGTTAACTAGCAGAGCATTCATTTAGTTCGCTATTAAATAAGAGATCTGTTGTTTTTGAAATCAAGCTGAGCGCTCGCGTCCGCTGCTATCAGTGTCATGGATACAATATTCTCTGTGGCTCGGACGAGTGTCTTCACTCGGACGCGCGCTTCATATCGCCGTTGTGGAGACTCCGGTGAAATCACAAAATAAAATGCACACAAACGTGATGAACATATTGGGTTTTGATGAGAGAGAGAAAAAACTATACGAGTGCGGTTTAGAACCCGTAACCTCTGACACGCTTGGCAAAAGATCTACAGAAACATAATCTGCGGTTCGATGCATTTATTCACGGGTTGAGCAGAGAGGCTGCAGTTTGACCAGCGGGCGGCAAGAACTTGCAATGTAACTATTTATCAGTCCGGCCCTCGCAGCCTCGAAACACTACCGAACCACCGGTAAAAGTCCCGACTCACCCGATTGCCACTCCGCCCGTGCACGCCATAAAAAAAAAAATTGAATCGATTTTTGGAATTCTATCAATCGATTCTAAATCGGTAAAGATTGAATCGCGATTCAAATGTGAATCGATTTTTTTGCACACCCCTATGAAACAAAGTCTCAGATTTCAAATTAGGTCCATTTTCTTACGAAATTCAAAAACATAAATGGTGTGTTGAGTCGAAGCTGTTGGGTGAGATCGCTCTGGCTCAGCTCAGCTCAAGAGAAGCAGCACGTGATCTCCTCTCCGCCTTAATAATACCAGTTACAGCGCCAAATAAACATGAACGAGCATCTGAAAGTGTGTTAAAAGATAGAGTACAACTTATCGAAATCCGTATCTTTTACAAGGAATCGCTCAATCAGTGTTTCAACCGTGGAAAGACGTCAGTAAAACGCTTGTAAACATTGTAATGTAACGTCACATTTACCTAAAAAAAAAACATATGGGCACTGGATAAACTCGTTAGCTAGCTAGAAAAATTAACTCTAGAGGAGCATTGTGCCTAATATATGCACCATATTACATATTCATTACAATTTTTAATGTTTTTCAATATTTAATGCATGTTGTTTGAAAAAAATCTGGCAAGTTTTTATGCAGCCACCATTTAAATGTTTATATTTCATATAACTTTATTATTATAAAAAATAAAATAAAAGTGTAATTTCAGTATTTCTGTACAAATCAGGTAATTTTTACCTTCAATATTATAGTAGGCTAATGAAGCCTATAGGCTACAACTGACTCCCAGTTTACAGCATTAGTTGAGATTTGTTTTTCTTGAGAAAATTTGCCATGTATTGTACCTGATATCCAAAATAATCAATATTGAATCGAATTGTGAAATTTGTGTCAATACCCTGCCATACCTTGAACAATGTAAAAACAGCACAAACAGTAAAAATTTATATTTTTATTTACAGTATAATTGTGCTTAAAAAACAACAACTACACCTTATTCTTGTTTAAAAACATTTACATAATATATATGAATATATGGAGCGTGATAAAAAGGTGACCTTGAAATTGTGGCGTTAAAGGCGACGCGAGACGAGGAAAAATTTGAGTGCACCAGTGCAACCAAGGCAAAAAGTTAGTCTGGACCCCTGCACACTGATGTTTCTCCGTGTGTTTGTTGGTCCGTTCGCACTGATGTTTCTCCATGTGTGTGTGTCTGTCCGTTCACACTGATGTTTCTCTGTGTGTGTGTGTGTGTGTGTCTGTCCGTTCACACTGATGTTTCTCTGTGTGTGTGTGTGTGTGTGGTTCCATTCACACTGATGTTTCTCTGCGTGTGTGTGCTCTCGTTCTCAGTTACTGGGCCAATCTGAAGCTGTGGTTCAAGCAGAAGATCAGCAAGGAAGAGTTTGATACAGAGGCCCGGCGCCTGCTGGCCCAGGACCACGGTAAGGTCACGCATGTCACGCAGGACCACGGTAAGGTCACGCATGTCACGCAGGACCACGCTAAGGTCACGCGTGTCACACGCCTGTAGAGCTCGTGCTGACCTCATCGACTGCAGCTCACGCTCGTGTGTTTCCCTCCACAGTCCATGTGCACAATGACTTCCTCCTGGCCATTCTGACCCGCTGCCAGATCATCGTCTCCACCTCAGGTACTCCAGCACTCGCACATCTGATGCTCAGAAGGGGTTTAATGTGTGTGTGTGTGGCTGATGTGTGTGTGTGTGTGTGTGTGTGTGTGTGCAGAGGGCGCGGGTGCGCTGCAGTGGACCGGCGGATCCGCATCTAAACCAGGCAAACCCAACCGAGGCAAGAAGAAGTTTCCCTCCGTTCGGCAAAAATTCGATGTTAGTTCTGTTTTTTTCTCACTCACATCATTACCATATTCTCAAATATACGTCTCACTTAGTGAAAAAGAAATGATATTGTGCATAAAGGAGTTGAACCTTCATGATTTGGTGCAATGGAAGTTTATTCTCATGACAGCTCATATACTCCAATATTTGCCTGAATGTAATGTGGCTTTTTATTTCCTCTTATTTCCTACGATTCTGTTTTTTATTGCCTGTAGTGCAAAAGTTACTGTAATTTTATAAAAAATAATCTTACGGATAATTTGAACTAAGTTAAAAATGGTAACATCAGCTTTATTTATTTAGCGCTTTATACAATACAGATTGTTTCAAAGCAGCTTCACAGTGATAAATATTAAAATAACAGTGTTAATCTTGCAAACGTTTCCACAGAAATTACCCTGAACAATCTGTCCCAGTATCCTTTTTCCCCCAGACCTGTTGCTGTCTGTTTCCATCGTGGTCTAAAATACCGCGAAGATTAGGCAAATTAGTCCGGTGACGTAGGACTGTGTGCGACTTTCCAGTTCCCGCTGCATTACGTCCTCCACATATAAGCTTAACCCTCTGGGGACCAAGGTGTTTTTGGGGCCTTTGGGATGTTTCGACATGCACTGACATTTGTGCTTTTTTCAGTTATTTATAAACATGTTAATGGCAAAGGTGTAAATTCACTCTATATAGCACAAACGGGGCTACCATGATATGTGAGCAACATGTATGTACATGTTTGTATTTTTAAGAGAATAATGTTTATGTGTGGTTATTGAAAAAAATAAAAATGAAAGTTGCTGAAATAAGAACACAAAACACATACTAAATATGTGTCCACAAGACTTTTGACTAATGGATGTTGTCGCTTCGAGTTCTGGCTTCAAAATGATGTGAAAATCATCCTGCCTACTTGTTCACATAAAGAAAAACATGAATTCATACTTTGTATGACAGTTTTTTGGTCAGAAGAGGTTTATGCGTGGGAGTGGTAATGGCCTATCAATATTAATGAGATTCAGACCAGGGGTGTGACAGACACTCTCCCAATGGCTAATGGCCCATCAAGTGAGGCAGCCTGAACCAAGAATGAGAGGAGATTCAAAGGTCTTTCAATCTGTTTTATTGTAATTCCTCTATATGGAGAAACTAAATGTTCTAAATTTGCTCTAAGCAAATCAAATGTGAGTAAAATAAATAAATAATCAGTCGGCTATAAACAAAGCAATTGTGAAGTCATACAGGCTCATATTGTATTAACACTAAGTATAAACAAAATTGAACTAACATCTGTAAAATTGTAGGTAAATATGTACTTACACTTTCTGATTTCTGACTGTGTGGCTAAGCGCACTACGAGTTGCAGGCGGAGGTAGTGATGAAACTACATTCCTTTTTTTTTTTTTTTTAAGTTGAGGAACATTAACCATAGCAGCATTAGTCTATAATGAATAACTGATGTAAATAATTTTAGGCGAGTGCAATAAATATGCGTGTCAATGGGCCATTGCCGGAGAGGCACACCGCAAACAAAACACATTTGCGCAATTCATTAACTGGGTATATTTACACATTTCAGCACATTTACACACATTTACAACTGATATTTGCGAGCATGCATCGTCAATGATAATAATGAGGCAGCATTTAAACTAGTCAAAATATAATCTAAACATCTAGTAGGCCTATTTTCTAAAATAACTTCTACATTCTAGCTTTCATACACAATGATTTAAACATATAATTTACACATACACATTTCCTAACTGGGGTTTACAGTGTGTAGCATGCACAAAAATAAATAATTTTTTTTTCTCTTTAACACGAGATATTAAATTCATGGTATAGATATGCACTTTCATTAGATTGTGTTGAATATATCAAATGTCAATACTCTGGATGGCAAGTGGAAAATAGTCCACCCAGTATAATATGTAAGCTACATGTTTATATTGAATAGCTTGTCAACTAATGGAAGTAAGACTAAATAGGCCTACTTACTCATACGAATTTCTATCCACGGCTCGATCAAATGGTCGTCGTCATCAGAGTCGCGCTCTTCTTCTGATGAAAATGTGGATTTTTCGTCGCTAGTATCCAGGACGAGCTGAAGAGCTTCTACACCGGTGTATCGTGCCATCTTCCTAACGCGCAGGTGAACTGAATGATGAAACTTGAAGCCTTTAATGCATTTGCTTGGGGGCGTTTACCTGTTTTCCATAGATGGCTTAACACATTATCTTGTGAATAGCGCGCTCCGGGAGTAGGCGTGAACGAATTAAAGTGAATGAGCTTGTAATGAGCTTGACTGGAATCGCTCTATTTTCATACAGATTACAGAAGCTGAGAATATTTGTTTTTAATATAAATGACTTCATTTAAAAGATGCGATCTCTAGCTTTATGCCCGTGGGTATGTTTGCCTGTTTGACTGAATTTTCGTGGAGTTACAGATCATTTCCGAACGCGTTTCAAATTGGAGTTCGCTGACAGTGAGAGTGAAGAACTCGCATCATGTTCATTTTTCTTTATTTGGCAAAAAGCAAAACACTTTATTTTTATTGTGAGTATACAGAAAAAAAATAGAAACTGAACAGGATCGATTGATGTATAACACGAACATGAAAGATCAAAATGAACAGAGCAGTTTGAGTTTATTTTGCATTGCTAAAAAAAAAAACGAGCAAAACGCGCGGGCGCGTTTCTGGTCCCCAGAGGGTTAATAAAGCCTGAACCTCATCGTCGGTCCATCGGCCGTATTGTTCAAACTCCATTGTTGATTCGAATAGCAAACAACTGTTACCTTACGCACAGATGAAATGCTGCGTGCAGTTAACCAATCAAAATGCGGCATGACTTTCTGAGGGGGAAATATTTACCCGGAACTTCATGTAGACTCCTGTGTTGGAAACACACCGAGTACCAGCCAAGAGTCCCTAGTTCCTGGGGAATGTTCCTGCAGTAACACACCGAGTCCCAGCAAAGAGTCCCTAGTTCCTAGGTAAAGTTCCTGCAGTAACACACCGAGTCCCACCCCAAAGTCCTTAGTTCCTGGGGAAAGTTCCTGCAGTGGAAACACACCGAGTCCCACCCCAAAGTCCCTAGTTCCTGGGGAAAGTTCCTGCGGTGTAAACACACCGAGTCCCACCCCAAAGTCCCTAGTTCCTGGGGAAAGTTCCTGCGGTGGAAACACACCGAGTCCCACCCCAAAGTCCCTAGTTCCTGGGGAAAATTCCCTATGGTGGAAACACACCGAGTCCCACCCCAAAGTCCCTAGTTTGTGGGGAAAGTTCCTGCGGTGGAAACACACCGAGTCCCACCCCAAAGTCCCTAGTTCGTGGGGAAAGTTCCTGCGGTGGAAACACACCGAGTCCCACCCCAAAGTCCCTAGTTCCTGGGGAAAGTTCCTGCGGTGGAAACACACTGAGTCCCACCCCAAAGTCCCTAGTTCGTGGGGAAAGTTCCTGCGGTGGAAACACACCGAGTACCAGCCCAAAGTCCTTAGTTCCTGGGGAAAGTTCCTGCAGTGGAAACACACCGAGTCCCAGCCAAGAGTCCCTTGTTCCTGGGGAAAGTTTCTGTGGTAGAAACACACCGAGTCCCACCCCAGAGTCCCTAGTTCCTGGGGAAAATTCCCTATGTTGGAAACACACCGAGTCCCACTCCAAAGTCCCTAGTTCGTGGGGAAAGTTCCTGCGGTGGAAACACACCGAGTTCCACCCCAAAGTCCTTAGTTCCTGGGGAAAGTTCCTGCAGTGGAAACACACCGAGTCCCAGCCAAGAGTCCCTTGTTCCTGGGGAAAGTTTCTGTGGTAGAAACACACCGAGTCCCACCCCAGAGTCCCTAGTTCCTGGGGAAAGTTCCTGCGGTGGAAACACACCGAGTACCAGCCCAGAGTCCCTAGTTCCTGGGGAAAGTTCCTGCGGTGGAAACACACCGAGTCCCAGCCCAGAGTCCCTAGTTCCTGGGGATAGTTCCTGCGGTGGAAACACACCGAGTCCCAGCCAAGAGTCCCTAGTTCCTGGGGAAAGTTCCTGCGGTGGAAACACACCGAGTACCAGCCCAGAGTCCCTAGTTCCTGGGGAAAGTTCCTGCGGTGGAAACACACCGAGTACCAGCCCAGAGTCCCTAGTTCCTGGGGATAGTTCCTGCGGTGGAAACACACCGAGTCCCAGCCAAGAGTCCCTAGTTCCTGGGGAAAGTTCCTGTGGTAGAAACACACCGAGTCCCACCTCAAAGTCCCTAGTTCCTGGGGAAAGTTCCTGCGGTGGAAACACACCGAGTACCAGCCCAGAGTCCCTAGTTCCTGGGGAAAGTTCCTGCGGTGGAAACACACCGAGTCCCACCCCAAAGTCCCTAGTTCCTGGGGAAAGTTCCTGCGGTGGAAACACACCGAGTACCAGCCAAGAGTCCCTAGTTCCTGGGGAAAGTTCCTGCGGTGGAAACACACCGAGTACCAGCCAAGAGTCCCTAGTTCCTGCGGTGGAAACACACCGAGTACCAGCCCAGAGTCCCTAGTTCCTGGGGAAAGTTCCTGCGGTGGAAACACACCGAGTACCAGCCAAGAGTCCCTAGTTCCTGGGGAAAGATCCTGCGGTGGAAACACACCGAGTCCCACCCCAAAGTCCCTAGTTCCTGGGGAAAGTTCCTGCGGTGGAAACACACCGAGTACCAGCCAAGAGTCCCTAGTTCCTGGGGAAAGTTCCTGCGGTGGAAACACACCGAGTACCAGCCCAGAGTCCCTAGTTCCTGGGGAAAGTTCCTGCGGTGGAAACACACCGAGTCCCAGCCAAGAGTCCCTTGTTCCTGGGGAAAGTTCCTGCGGTGGAAACACACCGAGTCCCACCCCAAAGTCCCTAGTTCTTGGGGAAAGTTCCTGCGGGGTAAACACACCGAGTCCCAGCCAAGAGTCCCTAGTTCCTGGGGAAAGTTCCTGCGGTGGAAACACACCGAGTCCCAGCCAAGAGTCCCTTGTTCCTGGGGAAAGTTCCTGCGGTGGAAACACACCGAGTCCCACCCCAAAGTCCCTAGTTCTTGGGGAAAGTTCCTGCGGGGTAAACACACCGAGTCCCAGCCAAGAGTCCCTAGTTCCTGGGGAAAGTTCCTGCGGGGTAAACACACCGAGTCCCAGCCAAGAGTCCCTAGTTCCTGGGGAAAGTTCCTGCAGTGGAAACACACCGAGTCCCAGCCAAGAGTCCCTAGTTCCTGGGGAAAGTTCCTGTGGTAGAAACACACCGAGTCCCACCCCAAAGTCCCTAGTTCCTGGGGAAAGTTCCTGCGGGGTAAACACACCGAGTCCCAGCCAAGAGTCCCTAGTTCCTGGGGAAAGTTCCTGCGGGGTAAACACACCGAGTCCCAGCCAAGAGTCCCTAGTTCCTGGGGAAAGTTCCTGCAGTGGAAACACACCGAGTCCCAGCCAAGAGTCCCTAGTTCCTGGGGAAAGTTCCTGTGGTAGAAACACACCGAGTCCCACCCCAAAGTCCCTAGTTCCTGGGGAAACTAGAAAAATGTTATAAACTCTGAATAGTGATAAAAATGTTGGAATTGCGAGATGTAAATTTGTAATCATGAGAAAAACGTCGGAATTGCGAGATATAAACTTGGAATCGTGGGAAAAAAGTCAGAATTGTGAGAAAGTTGCAATTGCCTTTATTAGTTTGTTCTGTGTCAGAAACAAGCTTCAAGAGTGTCAGTGCAGTCAAACTGATATTACTGAATATTAAGTGTGTCTTAAAGCATAAGATGTTACAGTGGTATATTACTGTACTGTATATATCATTATGTGTTTTGGCGTTGTAGTCATGAGGAGGATGAGAATTGTTGCTGGTCTAGAGTAGACTTCTGTCGCTGTAAGCGTGGTCTGGTGTGTGTGTGTCGCTGTAAGCGGGGTCTTTGTGTGTGTCACAGCACCGCTTCCAGCCCCAGAACCCCCTGCAGGCTGCACAGGCCTTCAGCCCTCGGGAGGCGGAGGACGAGGAGCTACGGCTCAGCGCACAGACGCTGCTGCTGCCCACCAGAGGACAGATGGAGGCGCGCATGATGGTCAGCGCCTTCGAGATGGGCCTGGACAACGTGAGCGAGGACGCCGTCAGTAGCCTGCTGTGTGCTCTGGAGGTCAGCCGTCATAACAGCTCCTGCATTCATAACTCATGCAGTCATAACAGCCCCTGCATTTATCACAACTACATTCATAACAGTTTGTGCATTCATAAGTGTTCTCTAGCTCACTTATGAAGCTGCTCTTCATGGGTTGATCTCGCTATAACGGCTCATGGACTTAAAAAACAGAATTTATACTTTGCATAAAAAAAGCGTATTTTATGTTTTGTTTAGAGAGGGATTGTGCCGAATTGTCATGAAATGGTAATACAACCCAAGCATTTTCAAGCACATTCATTCCTGCGTAATAATTGAGAATGACACAATGACACGCACATCATTCACAATTACCCATTAACTTTATTACATCATGCATTTATAGAACTTTATAAAAACAAGCCTTCAAGTCAAATTTGCTTGTATAGCACACAGAAAACCACTATGTTAATGTTTATAATATTTTAATATTAGAGCTTGGTGATAATAGTTGTGATAGTTAATGAAATACAGAAATCAGGCATTTGAGGAAGAGCTCAACACACACAGTGTAAGAGAAAGACTACGCTGATCGAACTCAAGACAATACAAGAGCGTCATTACGAAAACTTATAATATCTTTATCCTGTAAGTGAGAGTAAAACGTGATAAATGTGCTCATGAGTTCCAAAAATGTGACCAAAAGTTCTCCTGTGCAGGTTCATCTGAAGGATATCCTCACAGCGCTGGTCTCGCGGAGGAAAGGCTACCGCCTGCGCGACGGACACTTCCAGTACGCGTTCGGCAGTGACGTGACGCCGCGGCCGTATCTGAAGAACAGTCTGGCGGCCTACCTCAGCGTCACAGAGCGGTACGTCAACTTCCTCCTCTTAGCTCAATCACTCAGCACCAGTGTTCGGGACAGTTAACAGTGATGCATTACAGTATTGTGTTATTCAAAAAAAAAAATGAACTAATTGTTAATTAGTTACTTTTTATGAAAAGTTTGCATTATTTTTCCTCACCTGAGCTGGACTTGCTTATTTGTTTTTTAGTAAGAACAAAAAAAGTTATATTTTTGGCAAATATAAGGCCCTTTCACACCAAAAGTGAACTGAATAAGCCTGAATAAGGAGTGAGGTAAGGTAGAGTACGGTGGAGTGAGGTAGAGTACGGTGGAGTGAGGTAGAGTACGGTGGAGTGAGGTAGAGTACGGTGGAGTGAGGTAGAGTACGGTGGAGTGAGGTAAGGTAGAGTACGGTGGAGTGAGGTAAGGTAGAGTACGGTGGAGTGAGGTAAGGTAGAGTACGGTGGAGTGAGGTAAGGTAGAGTACGGTGGAGTGAGGTAAGGTAGAGTACGGTGGAGTGAGGTAAGGTAGAGTACGGTGGAGTGAGGTAAGGTAGGTAGAGTACGGTGGAGTGAGGTAAGGTAGGTAGAGTACGGTGGAGTGAGGTAAGGTAGGTAGAGTACGGTGGAGTGAGGTAAGGTAGGTAGAGTACGGTGGAGTGAGGTAAGGTAGGTAGAGTACGGTGGAGTGAGGTAGAGTACGGTGGAGTGAGGTGGAGTGAGGTAGAGTACGGTGGAGTGAGGTGGAGTGAGGTAGAGTACGGTGGAGTGAGGTAAGGTAGAGTACGGTGGAGTGAGGTAAGGTAGAGTACGGTGGAGTGAGGTAAGGTAGAGTACGGTGGAGTGAGGTAAGGTAGAGTACGGTGGAGTGAGGTAAGGTAGAGTACGGTGGAGTGAGGTAAGGTAGAGTACGGTGGAGTGAGGTAAGGTAGAGTACGGTGGAGTGAGGTAAGGTAGAGTACGGTGGAGTGAGGTAAGGTAGAGTACGGTGGAGTGAGGTAAGGTAGAGTACGGTGGAGTGAGGTAAGGTAGGTAGAGTACGGTGGAGTGAGGTAAGGTAGGTAGAGTACGGTGGAGTGAGGTAAGGTAGGTAGAGTACGGTGGAGTGAGGTAAGGTAGGTAGAGTACGGTGGAGTGAGGTAAGGTAGGTAGAGTATGGTGGAGGTAGGTAGAGTACGGTGGAGTGAGGTAAGGTAGGTAGAGTACGGTGGAGTGAGGTAAGGTAGGTAGAGTACGGTGGAGTGAGGTAAGGTAGGTAGAGTACGGTGGAGTGAGGTAAGGTAGGTAGAGTACGGTGGAGTGAGGTAAGGTAGGTAGAGTACGGTGGAGTGAGGTAAGGTAGGTAGAGTACGGTGGAGTGAGGTAAGGTAGAGTACGGTGGAGTGAGGTAAGGTAGACTACGGTGGAGTGAGGTAAGGTAGAGTACGGTGGAGTGAGGTAAGGTAGAGTACGGTGGAGTGAGGTAAGGTAGAGTACGGTGGAGTGAGGTAAGGTAGAGTACGGTGGAGTGAGGTAAGGTAGAGTACGGTGGAGTGAGGTAAGGTAGAGTACGGTGGAGTGAGGTAAGGTAGAGTACGGTGGAGTGAGGTGGAGTGAGGTGGAGTGAGGTGGAGTGAGGTGGAGTATGGTGGAGTGAGGTGGAGTGAGGTGGAGTGCGGTGGAGTGCGGTGGAGTGCGGTGGAGTGCGGTGGAGTGAGGTGGAGTACGGTGGAGTGAGGTGGAGTACGGTGGAGTGAGGTGGAGTACGGTGGAGTGAGGTGGAGTACGGTGGAGTGAGGTGGAGTACGGTGGAGTGAGGTGGAGTACGGTGGAGTACGGTGGAGTGAGATAGAGAGTACGGTGGAGTGAGATAGAGAGTACGGTGGAGTGAGGTGGAGTGAGGTGGAGTGAGGTGGAGTATGCTGGAGTATGCTGGAGTATGCTGGAGTGAGGTGGAGTGAGGTGGAGTGAGGTGGAGTGAGGTGGAGTGAGGTGGAGTGCGGTGGAGTGAGGTGGAGTACGGTGGAGTGAGGTGGAGTGAGGTGGAGTGAGGTGGAGTGAGGTGGAGTGAGGTGGAGTGAGGTGGAGTGAGGTGGAGTACGGTGGAGTGAGGTGGAGTACGGTGTAGTACGGTGTAGTACGGTGGAGTACGGTGGAGTACGGTGGAGTACGGTGGAGTACGGTGGAGTACGGTGGAGTGAGATAGAGAGTACGGTGGAGTGAGGTGTAGTGAGGTGGAGTACGGTGGAGTACGGTGGAGTGAGGTGGAGTGAGATAGAGAGTACGGTGGAGTGAGATAGAGAGTACGGTGGAGTACGGTGGAGTACGGTGGAGTGAGATAGAGAGTACGGTGGAGTGAGATAGAGAGTACGGTGGAGTGAGATAGAGAGTACGGTGGAGTGAGATAGAGAGTACGGTGGAGTGAGATAGAGAGTACGGTGGAGTGAGATAGAGAGTACGGTGGAGTGAGATAGAGAGTACGGGGGAGTGAGATAGAGAGTACGGTGGAGTGAGATAGAGAGTACGGTGGAGTGAGATAGAGAGTACGGTGGAGTGAGATAGAGAGTACGGTGGAGTGAGATAGAGAGTACGGTTGAGTGAGAGAGTGTACGTACGGTAGAGTGTACGTATGGTAGAGTGTACGGTAGGGCAGAGTGAGATAGAGTGCGGCCTCAGAGTAGTAGTGCGGCAGAGTGCAGGCAGGCGCTGCTCAACGAACTTTTCAGCTTCTGCTGTTCTGGATTAAAGAACAACAGTTCAACACTTATTATTTTTGCTTATTCGTATGGTTGAATTAGATCATTGAAGGTCAGCAGCAAAGACATTGGTTAATAAAGTGAGATTAAATACATAAAGTATATTTGTGTAATTTAATATAGCTGATTATAAAAGTTTTGAGTAAAATTCTGAGATTGCATTTTGAGGAATACTGAATGTTTTTGTGCAAGTGAGATGAGTAAATGCATTTTCACATTTAGTGTAGAACTAAAATAACCATCATGTTTACACACAACACCGCTTCTCTTTATTTCTCTCAACAAGAGTGCTTTCAGTCAATAAATGTGGGAAAGTAACTCAGATATTTTGTTTTAAATTAAAAAGGTAATGTGTTTACTAGTTTCTTGAAAAAGTAATCTGATTACGTATCTCCAGTTACTTGTAATGAGTTACCCCCGACACTGCTCAGCACTGTTGACCTGCAGCTCGTGATGTAAACGTTGTGTGTGTGTGTGTGTGTGTGGCAGGCCTCCCCCGAGCGCATCACTTCCTGCCGGGCCTCCTCCTCAGGTGTCACCTGACGATGCGGAGCAACAGGCCGCTCTCCTGCTGGCGTGTTCAGGAGACCGTGTCCCGCCTCCACTGCCGCCCATCAGCGGATACGACCTGCTGGAAGCCCTGCAGGTGCGACTGAACACACAACAATAACTCATGCTGTGCCTCTGTGTCACAGGTCAACTACGCTACTGTAAACCAGCGACAGAATGTCCTACATGTCACTAGCTGTGTTTCCAGACAACTGCTTATATGTGCATTTTGGGATATCGCATTAAACAAAACCCGCCAAGATGTGCATCTTTCTGAAAATGCACATACAAACGTCTGCTCTCAATTAAAGCTGGTGATGCACCGGTGTGAAAATTGTGGCCGATACCGATAACCGATATTAATATTGCTGTAATGGCCGATACCAATATTTACCGATGTCGATATCTCTGTATAGAAAACACATAGCGAGGATTAGGGCTGCACGATATTGGTAAAAAATGACATTGTTTTTATATCGCAATATATATTGCAGAAAAATAAAAATACAAAAATACGCCTTAGTAAGGCTGACAGAAAACTGCGCGCAAGTTCCAGTCTTCTTGCTCTTGATGTTTAAACCTACAGGACTTGCGCTTGTAATGTATGCGCTCGTGCCTCGTGCAAAAACAAACATCCCCGCCCCCACACTCACACTCACATCTACACCATGATCTACACACACGTCAAATACACAGGAATGATTATCGGCCTGTTCACGTCGGCCCTATTTTGACATCGGAACGAAACCGAGGTGTAAAAAATTGACCATATCGGCCGATATCATATCTGCGGTCGATACATCGTGCACCCCTAATTAAAGCAGATAATTGTTTTATCCGATGAGATGACATGCACATAAACTAAGATGGAAACACATTTACTGAATAAATTCCTCAAACTCACATGACTTTGGCTCAGCGTCGGCTGTGATTGGATAACTGGAGTAACCGGCGGACCAATGGCGTCGCAGTGTTTCTGAAACGCCGGAGTCGAAGTGTGTGTGATCAGAAGGATATGGTGTAATGCCCTCCAGAAGCGTCTCACACACGAGTGTGTTCCCGAACACCAGCATCCGAACGCCAGAGAACACGACAGTGTTTACTGTGTTTCGCCTGACGCTCTGAGACACACTCGTTTCTGATGGAGGGAAAAGAGAAAGATTGCAGAAACGTAGAGTTTATTACTGATATTTTAAGCCAATTTCCCTGGAAGTGACGATTCTGTTCTCTTGAACCCAAGCGATGGAAACACTGCTTTAATTGCAAATATTGTATGCCATATTTCAATTTTGCTCAAGTTAAATCCGCAACTTTGGATGGAAACACAGCTATTGAGTCTCACAATCTACATCTGTCTCATATTTCACCCCAATCACAAGAAAAAGACACATTTGCACATGAACACAGCGGTTGTGCAGTTGTGCAGTGCTGAAGAGTCAAGTATTTTTCTGGCCTAAAAAATTATTAATAAATAGTATAAAGAAAAACAAGGCCTTTTTATGGCTGATTTGCACTGTGACCATCAGCATCTACAAACCCTTTTTTTTAGCTCTGAAATTTAGGCTTATAGGCGTAATATGTGCACACCATCATGTGTGATGAGACCGTTGTATTTTTCTTTTTCTAAACTCGCTCCTTGGAACCTGTTTCGAGGTTTGTGTTCTCGAGCACCAGACACTGTTATTGTGCAAATGAACGGCCAGAACACTTTACAGTTTTCTGTTAGAACGGTGTTGTGTTGGCGGCCGATAGGTCAATAACTAATGATCTCTGAAACAGAAGTAAATCAATCAAAACTAACTTTATCTGGACAATAACTTTATTCTAGAGCTGCTGTAAAGCCAGAACAGTCTCTGCTACTTTAATCTCCTGTTATCTCTGTAAAGCTGCTGTGAAACTCTATATTGCTAAAGCGCTGTATAAATGAAGGTGACAATGTATTTCTGCAAACGTTCAGCCGACCGTGACTTTGCTCAGGTTTCCCGCTGTTGATTTGAGTGTCAGACTGGGTGTGTGTAGTTACTGATATTGTGAGTGTGTGTGTGCAGGTCCAGCGCAGGGTGATGCCGTCTCACAGCATGTACGCGCTCAACATGGAGCGGATCCTGACCCGACTCTGGCATCCCAGTCACGAGGAGCTGGAGCAGGACCACATCCACCGCCAGCACCTCACCATGCTCAGCTGAGACGTGTGTGTGTGTGTGTGTGTGTGTGTGTGTGTGTGTGTGTGTGTGTGTGTGAGGCATCCCAGTCACGAGGAGCTGGAGCAGGACCACATCCACCGCCAGCACCTCACCATGCTCAGCTGAGACGTGTGTGTGTGTGTGTGTGTGTGTGTGTGTGTGTGTGTGTGTGTGTGAGGCATCCCAGTCATGAGGAGCTGGAGCAGGACCACATCCACCGCCAGCACCTCACCATGCTCAGCTGAGACGTGTGTGTGTGTGTGTGTGTGTGTGTGAGGCATCCCAGTCACGAGGAGCTGGAGCAGGACCACATCCACCGCCAGCACCTCACCATGCTCAGCTGAGACACGTGTGTGTGTGTGTGTGAGGCATCCCAGTCATGAGGAGCTGGAGCAGGACCACATCCACCGCCAGCACCTCACCATGCTCAGCTGAGACACGTGTGTGTGTGTGTGTGAGGCATCCCAGTCACGAGGAGCTGGAGCAGGACCACATCCACCGCCAGCACCTCACCATGCTCAGCTGAGACACGTGTGTGTGTGTGTGTGAGGCATCCCAGTCATGAGGAGCTGGAGCAGGACCACATCCACCGCCAGCACCTCACCATGCTCAGCTGAGACACGTGTGTGTGTGTGTGTGTGTGTGAGGCATCCCAGTCACGAGGAGCTGGAGCAGGACCACATCCACCGCCAGCACCTCACCATGCTCAGCTGAGACACGTGTGTGTGTGTGTGTGAGGCATCCCAGTCATGAGGAGCTGGAGCAGGACCACATCCACCGCCAGCACCTCACCATGCTCAGCTGAGACACGTGTGTGTGTGTGTGTGTGTGTGAGGCATCCCAGTCACGAGGAGCTGGAGCAGGACCACATCCACCGCCAGCACCTCACCATGCTCAGCTGAGACACGTGTGTGTGTGTGTGTGAGGCATCCCAGTCACGAGGAGCTGGAGCAGGACCACATCCACCGCCAGCACCTCACCATGCTCAGCTGAGACGTGTGTGTGTGTGTGTGTGTGTGTGTGTGTGTGTGTGTGTGTGTGTGTGTGTGTGAGGCATCCCATTCACGAGGAGCTGGAGCAGGACCACATCCACCGCCAGCACCTCACCATGCTCAGCTGAGACGTGTGTGTGTGTGTGTGTGTGTGTGTGTGTGTGTGTGTGTGTGAGGCATCCCAGTCACGAGGAGCTGGAGCAGGACCACATCCACCGCCAGCACCTCACCATGCTCAGCTGAGGTGTGTGTGTGTGTGTGTGTGTGTGTGTGTGTGTGTGTGTGTGTGTGTGTGTGTGTGTGTGTGTGTGTGTGTGTGTGTGTGTGTGTGTGTGTGTGTGTGTGTGTGTGTGTGTGTGTGTGTGTGTGAGGCATCCCAGTCACGAGGAGCTGGAGCAGGACCACATCCACCGCCAGCACCTCACCATGCTCAGCTGAGACGTGTGTGTGTGTGTGTCACGGCACCATGTACAGCAGTGATCGAGAACAGAGAGAGAGAGGAAGATCATCAGCCGCCACTGGGTCTGTCCTTCACACGAGCACAGACTGACTCGAAACGCTGGATTTTCAATATTTCTGGGCGTTAATATGTTGAAAGGCAGTAAATATGTTTTTGTAAATATTTGTTCTCAAGTCTAGTTTTTGTATGTAAGTACAAGACATCTCAGTGTTTTATATCCCTGAATAAACCTCATGAGTTCCTGATGCAGCACAGCTTAAGAGTCAAAGACATTGAATGCATATTTAACTCAAGTTAGAAAGAAATTGAAGAGAATCTTTCGCTCTCTTTCAGTAATTTAAAAGAAGACTGATACGACTTTCAAACTGTAGTCTCGGGGAAGGTTGAGAGAAAGTGTGAAATTGTAAAAAGAAGAAGGTTACTCTGCGTATTTCTTGCCTTTCCTTTCACGCAACACAACAAGATTAAATGCAATATATTTTCTCAAATGTATTGACTCGTTAATTCATCTGACTCCATAAAATGAATAGGTTTTAATGATATCCGTGCATCATTAAACGTTAGCGAATGTTTGATTATTCTTTTCAACACTGATTTTAGTTTATCCGCAATCAGGAAACTATATCGCTCAGCAGTCCTTCTCCGAAGGCCGCACGACACACTCCCGTCAGTTCCAATAACCAATTCAGAGGTAATTTGACTAAATATCTGGGATCTGCCGTATTCACACGTACAATCAAAGATATATATATATAAGTCCCCTTGAACGCCTCCTCTAGAAATTAAATTAATGTGTTACTTTAGTAGGGACGATTGACCACCAAGAAAGAGGACAGTTCATCAACTCATCTTCTCTTAAGATGGCTTCAGGTCAAACCCGTGGTCTGTAAACCACGCACGTTTATCCAAAGCGATCACTGACCTAAAACAGTGGATATGGACACACCCGAACCTAGGTTGATTAAAACAGCGTTTGCTGTTGAGCTTGCCCCCTCGTTCAAGTACACGTAAAATGGTATCGGAATATTAGCCGTCGCTAAACTGACGCGAAAGATGTGGAAATATACGAATCCAATAATCTAGGGAATAAACAGTCTTTCAGAGTCACTCAGAATAAAATCAAACGTTTACAATTTATTGATCAGGTAATGAAGCAATAATTCAAAATTCAATTCAAAAAGATAAAATCGTCAGTTAAAACATTTCATCACAATGATTCCGAAATCACAGAATTTGTAGAAATTATTACCTGTCAATAGAGTTACACACAGCGATTGTGCGGGCAGTCAACCTACAGACTCCCCGAACTTTTCTGCTCTTTTCCCTTATATACCCAGATAATTCAATTGTTACCAAATGGTGATGTCTGTCATTATAATTAGATTTTGGTTGTTTATTCAGGGGCTCACACTGTGAGGTCTGCCTGATTTTACATACAGGAGGTAGTCTGAATGAGGCTATTATGGGACACATCACTTTTCTCACATTTCATAACTTCTTTTAGCTTTTCATCATAGTTGGGAGAATGAGACCATGTCACCAGGCGCATTGTGATACATCAAAAGACACCAAACATGAGTAGTTACATTTTCGTACACACATAACATTGCATAAGGTTTCAGTGTATTTCAGGTGAGGAGGAGGGGGATGTGGGGGAGATAGTGTGGGTGAAGTGTGAACTGCACTGTGTGCTGCGTCTCCAGAGTTCCTGTTACATATGCAGGAGGGAGTTACATATTCAAGAGATAGTTCAAGTGTTAATTCCCAGGAGGGCCTTTTGTCACATTGAGGGGTCGATCAGACATACCGGCACCAGCCTTACAATTGAAAGAGCCCAGCAGCGGAACGCAGCGAATTCTGCAGCATCAGTTCAGCGGACGGCGGCCTCCTGTTCAGCGCCTCTGACTTGACGCCGTCGACTGCTGATTCGCTGTTTCCCCGCGGCCATCCTGCGAGAGTATCCTTTTAGCTAAAAAAGCTAATTTCTCACTAAAAGAGCAGTGCGGCGTTTTTTCAAAGGCCGCGCCCCCACTGAGTCACATGCAGAGCCCCTCTGCATCGCACAGACGAGCACCGTGAGTGCTCTTCCTACCTGGGCAAAGACCATGCTGAAACTGCACTCGCACAGGGTGGCTGTTCTCATTGCGAGAACATGCCGTTCCCCTCTCTGCGCTCGCGGCTAGCTTTCCTTTCAGAGAGCGACCCCGCCCCCAGGAACCTCGGAGGAAGAAACGGCGGGGTCAGAGGACAGACGAGTGAGCTTTACGCCGGCCCAGACCCGGTGTGCCTCTCTCTCTCTCCACAGAGAGAGATTTCGCCGCTCTTCACCAAGGCAGACCCGCGCCCTTCCTTTGAAACAGCCGGCCTCGTCTCGTTTGGTGGATTGGAGGAAGACCTGGACGATGACAGACTGTCATTGGCGGTATCTGAAGGCGAGGATTGGTCTGGCTCTATAATTGACCTCGCCCCCCATCTCAGACCAGCACCAGGGCGAGCACAGATGCCGAGCTTCTCCGTGTTCTCACCCGGCCATCGGAAGAGCTCGGCCTCGACTGGTCTTCCCCGGAAGAGCCCACTAAAAGCCGCCTCGACGAATGGTTCCTGCCGGGGCGCCAGCAGGCCCCTTGTCAGCGATCAGCGCCGTTCTTCCCAGAGGTTCATGACGAACTGACGAAGTCATGACGTGCCCCCTAATCGGCCCTCCTACGCACTTCCGCTTCTGCAACGCTCTCGAGCCCAGAGGTCTGTCTATCTTATCTATCTATCTACCTATCCAGGAAGTATAAGAGGGACGCCTAGAGAACAAGTCATCCTATTCTTCGTCTGAAGGGACTGAGTAGCCCGGAGGCATGGCGACGAGACGCAGTTTTCCCTGTTTTCAGGAAACAAGAGTTACAGTCGTAACCCGAGACGCTCCCTTTCGAAAGGGAACTTGCACTGCGTCCTGAGACACTTTGGGGAATGAAATACCCATGCTGTCATGCTGAGGGGAGGTTTGCCAATCATGCCTGTGCTACAAGCACAAGCACATTTAACTCAGAGTTAAATCCCCCTACTGGTACGCATCAGGCTGTCAGTAGCTTTACCCCCTACGGCCACTGCCCGAGCTTCATGGTTAATGAGGAAGCACCTTTGCGGTTTTACACGAAGGACTTACCCCAGAGCCGGCTCAAGGCCTGGACACCACAGCCCAACTCATAGGGGGTTTCTTTCAGAGAGTACGGCCATAGCCTGCTACTTTCAAGGGGACCAGTGTCAACCCTTGTACCAGGAGGCTGTCATATTTTATCCGCTGAACCAGTGTTTTTTTTTTTTTTTTATGAACCTGACCACAGTCTCTAACCAGAGATAGATAGCTCCTCCACAGGGCGATGGGAAGCGGAGGCCTCAGCAGGATGACTCTTAAAGAAGATGAGGCCTGCCATACTCACACCAGATAGTTTCTAGCGTTTCATGATTTTACCTTCACAGTAACAGCAAAACAGTCCCTTCAGACGAAGGAGTGGATGACATGTTCTCTAGGTGCCCTTTTATACTCTCTGGTCGCATTAGCGACATTATATTCATACTATATATAACATTATACATATATAATGT